TTAATAATTTATTATTTAATTATTAATAATTTTTTTAACTGATTATTAACAATTATTTCAAATAGTAACAAATTTAATTAATATTAGAAAACATTCAAAACTATGTAATGTTGATACAAAATATGACTTTTTCCTTTCTGTGACCACAATTTATTGGTCACCAAAGGTTTTGAGATCCCCTTTTTTTTTTTTTCTCTCTCTCTCTCCCACCATTACTTTCTGTGACCATATATATATTTTTTTTGGTTGTAAATATTTACCTATTAGCTATCAAAATGTCATTGGTTGCTAAAACACAACTCATTAGCGACCAAAAAAATGTTAGTCGCAGAAAGTCAACTAATCTGTGACCAACTCAAAAAAGACGGTCGCCAAAAATGTTTTTTCTTGTAGTGTACTAACCAACACGTATACACTCTATACATATATATACTTCTCTAACTGAATCAGTTAGACACATAGTTCTAAATATCGGCCGATACGCCACGTATCGACCGATACGTATCGGAAAAATGGGGTGTTGTGACAGATACAGGCCGGTGTACCGCTGAGATTGAAAATCGCAAGGGTATCGGCCGAGTCCCAGTACGTATCGGCTTGTAACCGTTACACAAGCCGCGATGGGCCGATACTCACAGGTTCGGACTAGTACGGGAAAGAAAAAGCTAAAAAACCTGTTAAAAATGATTTTTAAAATTTTACCGCCGCAACACCTGATTCCCGATACGTACCGATCGATACTACCGATACCAATACTCCACGATCGATACCGTTACGTTACCTGATACCACGATTTAGAACCTTCTATAGCTATCAATCTCAATTCCATTAAAAACAAGCTTAGTGACAAATATCATCACTCTATATATACAACTAGTGGAGCTCCATCTTCCATCCTCGCCGGAGATCCTTTCCTACCACCACACCACTAATGGCCTCCCAACCCACCTCATGGCCGCCCTTAAAATCGGCCTTGAAAAATTTGCCCCCGCCTTCTCCACCATTCTCAAAACCCTAAATCCTAACCTGGTCATCTATGACTTCAACCAGACATGGGTACTAGCAACAGCTTCCTCGCTCAATATTCCCGTTGTTCTGTTCTTATCTTTTGGGGCTTTGTTTATTTCTTTTACTTTCCACCATGTCTTCAAGAACCCCAATGTCGAGTACCCATTTCGGGCAATTCATCTTCATGAGTATGAAAGAAGTAGTTTTGAATCCATGCTTGAATTCTCTGCAAATGGTGTGAAAGAAAAAGATCTTATCTTCGAATCCATTAAACGATCTCGGGATGTCATGTTGCTCAAAACTTCTAGAGGGTTAGATGGAAAATATATCGATTATTTCTCAACGTTGGTGAATAAGAGGATTCAACCGGTTAGTACGCTTGTTCAAGAACCTGCGAAAGCGAAGAACGACAATGATGATGGGGATGGAGCGATCAATAGAATGGCTTGAGAAGAAAGATGAGTCTTAAACGGTGTTTGTTTCATTTGGGAGTGAGTATTTTCTGTCCATGGAGGAGATGGAAGAGATAGCTCATGGGCTAGAGCTTAGCAAGGTTAACTTCATATGGGTTGTTAGGTTCTCTGTGGGAGAGAAAATTAGGGTTCATGATGTACTACCTAAGGGATTCATTGCCAGGGTATCTAATATTTTTCTCTTGTTTGATTGGTTTATTTTTCTCTATCTGATATGAAATTAGTTTCTCTTTACTATTGAATTATCTCTATTTGGTAATCTAACTCGAGAAGTGTTGTTAAGGCTTGGGGGCGACCCATCTTAGTGATTTAAATTATAAATTTTGTAAGATTTATCACACAAATAATTAATACAAAATATGGATTTTTCAGATATCAATAGTCAAATGATGAGACAAAAATGGATTGCAAGTATGATTTTAACAAAAATGTGATCGGAATATCTGGCTACCACAATCCAATCAACTTAGGAGTGTTTGGCATAACTTATATAAGTGCATTTATTTAGATAAGTGTCTCTATTTTTCTGCATATCTTTTCGTAAAAAGTTAAAAAATATACTTATTTAGATCATCTAAAATACCCCTTAATGTTTTGTATAGACTATCTACTCAATAAATCCTACAAAATGAACAATTTGAGATAGTTTCGATTGGCATCTTGCCAACCTCAATGGGGGATTTTCATTTATATTTTTCTTGGTGTTACACAATTGACATACTTTATATATACCAAACCTAGTTGGAATATGTTTAGTTGGCAATCAGGCATTGTTTCACACTACGGACTAATGCCTGTAATCTTTAATTGCTATTCATTTATAAAAGTTCTTTTTAGTTAATAAAAAAATTAAACAATTTGAAATATCAAGCATGAGATGGGCCCACCGAGTTTCAATAGCACCTCTTATGCTGAACTATCAGTCGAAGAAAAGGTTAACAATACATTGAGATTTGAAAAATAACATAGAAATATAATGTTTTGTAATTGGTGAAAAATATCACGTGACGTTATTACTCAGTATCGGCTACTAATAATTTTTTTCATTGACAGGGTAGGTGAGAGAGGAATGGTTGTAGAGGGTTGGGCTCCCCAGGTAAAGATTCTAAGGCATTCAAGCATTGGTGGCTTTGTGACTCACTGTGGATGGAATTTTGTATTGGAAAGCATAGAGTTTGGTGTTCCAATCATGGCCATGCCTATGCATCTTGACCAGCCATTGAATCCTAGGCTGATTGAGGAGGTTGGTGTTGGTGTGGAGGTCAAGAGAGATCAGACTGGTAGGCTTCATATAGAAGAGATAGCAAGAGTTTTGAAAACGACAGTGGTGGAGCAGAAAAATGGAATAAGAATCAAGAGGAAAGCAAGGGAGTTGAGTGAGAAGATTACAATGAAGAAAGAGGAAGAGATAGATGAGGTGGTGGGGGAGTTGGTTTCACTTTGTGGGAAGAGGAAATAGATGCGCCCATAATCTAGGATTTTTTTTTAATTAATTAATTTTTTAAAAATTTTTTTGGAGGGGGTTGTGTGGATTGTTTCTTTACCATTGCTTTTAATTTTTAGATAAATTATTTCAATTTTCAAAAATAATTTTCTAAATGTTCAATTCGTATTTTTATATTTTTAATGATTTTTAATTATTCTAATCACTTTTTTTTTAATTTTTAGATTCACTTAATCTTAATATACTTAAAAAGTAAATATATATATATATATATATATTCATTAAATACAACAAAATACGAAAATGTATTGAATTTTTATATTTTTTATATTTGGTGAATTTTTTAAGTTTTTTTTCACAAATATTATAGTTTTTAAGCGTATTTAAATTAGATATATTTAAAAAATAATATGAAAATGCGTAAAATATTAAAAAAAAAATCAATAAAAACAAAAAAAATAAAAAAAACTCAATTTTTTAAAAGGTGGATTCAATTTTATACATCCAAATATGGTGATTGTGTTTTGTATCACCTATACTGGATTGAGCTTATCATAATGGATTGACACAAGTCACTCATCGTTGGGCTTGTGGTCAATTTTGATTATATGTTTCAATAATCATTTAGATTTATGTGTGTAGATAATCAATGAAAAAATAAGCTTACTATAATAATTGTAAATAGACCGTTTTATCATATTTATTTTGTAGTATATTATCAAAACATACTTGTTGCTTTTGATAACTAAATAATATAAATATGATTATCAAATCAATATGAATATTTTCATAAACAACGTACGTACCTCAACCAAAGAGATGATTGGAATAAAAAATGGCACATCTCACTAATTTGAGAACTCTAAAAGAGTACTAATGATGTGAAAAATAAAATTAAAAAAAAAAAAAAAAGTAAGATCAAAACGTCACATCACATAAGACCCACACACCAATTAAAACTATTAGAGCTCTCAATCTTTTTTCGATTGGAATACATAAAAATAGATTTTGTGATAAGTCCACATTTAAAAAAAAAAATTTGTACTATGTCCAATCCATTTTCACGACTGAAGAAAAGCCCCTTCGTAGCATATTATATAGGCCTAGCCCTAAGATTTCTGGCCCCAAAATCGATAATCAACTAATAAATATTATTAGATCATTTGGGCCCTTCACATTCTTTTTTTTTTTTTATTGAGCGAAATTTTTTTTGAAGGTAAATGACAAAAGATTTGTGTCAAAATCATAAAAATATTTAGAATTACATTACAACAACTAATAAGTATCACTTGATCCTCGCTCTTCTTGCATTTTTAGAAGCAAATAAATCAATCATACTTGCTACGAATTCTTGAGAAATTCGTTAGTACTCTGTTGTGCCACTTCTTTCAAATATTTGGAAAATTGAATTAAAAGTTAGGGTTAGGAATTAGATAAGAAGAGAGAATGGGTCCTTTTAATTTTGAATGGGTCCTTTTAATTTTGAATGGGGCATTTTAATTCTTTAATGAGTCAGTTTATTTTAAAGGGGAACTTACTGATAAGTCCCATGTACCAAGTTCAAAACACAGCTAATCCCAAAACAAAATACTTGCACCAATTAGTTCAATACATTTTTAATTGTTACCAAAAAATCCTTTTTTTTTTTTTAATTTACAGACACTGTTCACATCTTACTACCGTAGGACTTCCATCAAACGGTCGCCGGAGACTCGTCGGAATGTTCAACATCGCCGGGAAGTCGCCGGAGTATCACCGGGAAGTCGCCGGAGTTTCGCCGGAAGTTTGCCAGAGTGTTAAGAACGTTAATGGAAGTCGCCGGAATGTTCAGAACGTTCACTGGACGTTAAGAACATCACTAGAGACTCACCGGAATGTCTAGAATATTGCCGAAAAAAAAATAAATGGATAAATTATAGCAAAAAAAACATAGCAAAATGTGCTAAATATTAATAAACTAAAAGGAAAAAAAAATGAAACGATAAAAAACAGCAACAATGGAGAAAACATATGTTATTTTTCAATTTTTGTAAGGTTCAAGCAAATAATCTCTAAATAGTGATCAAACTGAAAAGTAAGTTTTGAAACTGTAAAATGTTACAGTTTCAAAACAAAAATTTATTAAGCATTTATCCTTATTAATCAAACTGAAAAACATGTTATGAAACTGTAAAATTTTACAGTTTTATACCATGATTCATTCCAGCACCAAAAAAATTTAAAACTGCAAAATTTTACAGTTTTCACCGCTTGTAACTAAAACTCGAAAACTAGTTGTTCAGAATTCGAAAATTTTCTCCATTAGAACAGAAAAACAGAAGTGTATAGCAGAGAAAAAAAAAAGAGAGATCAAAGGAGAAAGGCGGATGTAAAGAGAGGATTGTATTCCGGCAACTATTTTTTGTTTGGATCTAGTCAAATCTGATGTAGATCTACTCAAATCTGATTTAGACCTGAATAGATCTACATCAGATCTAAGTAGATCCACTCATCTTCTTCGTCGGAAATATATCATCTTCTTCGTCGGAAATATATTATCTTCGTCGTCGGTGAGAGTGAAGTCACGAGTTGATTTCGATGGTTGGCGGTTATCAGTAAACCCCGATCAATGGAGAAAGACATGATCACCGGTCGTCGTCCATGACAAAGACGATGAAAGAAAAATGCAGAAAAAAAAAAACGAGAGAGGAGGGAAGCAAAAAACAGAGAGAGAGAGGAAAGGACTTTTGGGTGTACTCAAAAAGTTATGGGATTAAATGGTGTCCACATGTTCCACATGGGACCTGTGGGTAATTTCCCCTATTTTAAATTAGCTTGGGCCTTCTTTTATTTATTTATTTTTTGACCTAAAACATACCTAATATATTACACTAAACTATAATAGAAGGGGTCCTTTTTTGGTCTATTTTGAAGGACCCTAAGCTATGGCCTGATAGACCTATACCCAGCGCCGGCCCTGATATTATATATAATTAATAATATTTTTTGCTTAAAAATAATTATTAGGAAAATTTAAAAGAAAAATTATGATATATCAAAAAAAAAAAAGCGATGAATATTGTATTAACAAGAAAAAAACAATTGCCAAGGAGATTTTTGTCACAAAAGAGTTTTTTTAAATTTTTTATTAATAATTTAGATTACAACAAAATAATTCCAGTTGTTCTAAAACCTTGAAAGCCACTGGGTCTAGGGGTGAGCATGGTCCGAATTAAATCGGATTGGGATAAAATCAGGACCAATCTGTTATCTACGATTTCTGAAAAATTAGAACCAATCTAATCTGTTTAAATCATGGAACCAATCCAAACCAATCCATTTAAATACGGATTGGATCGGAAAATTAGAACCAATCTAATCTGTTTAAATCATGGAACCAATCCAAACCAATCCATTTAAATACGGATTGGATCGGTTTAGGACCACAGATTCACATAATTAAATAATAAAAAATATATATATATATAACACTTTAATTTCATAAAAATATAAACATAGTGCTTTTAGTTCCACAATAACAACATATTGTTCTAGAATTTAAACAATCGCAAGAAAATTGGTTTCACCATAAGTATTTAGACCATTATAAATTAAAACTAAAAACTAACAAACAAAAGTAATAAAAGAAGATATTATGCGGGTTTAAGTTTAAGTTTAGATTTTATATGGAATAAGAGAAAATACTATAGGAGAAGATGTATAATAAAAATATAGATTATTTATATACGGTCCAAATTGGTTTCAATCCGGAATCGTGGAATTCAATCCGGAACCAATCTGTGGACTGTGAATTTTTAATTCTTCAATCTGAAACCGAACTACGGATTCAAAAAACTAATCTAAACCTATCAGATTGAACTAAATTAGATCAAATTACGAATTTCATAAATTTCTTACACAACCCTAACTGGGTCACCCATTCTTACAAAAGACTTGTTCAACTCCATTAGTCGCAAGAGACTTTCGTCTTTTACGTTTCAATTTTTTTATAAATTTTATGACAAATACACTTTACTCCTCAATGGCCTTATTAATAAATTATCCGAAGTCAAGAAAGTAGTATGAAACAAAAGAAATTAAACACTTGAAATTTTCAAACAAAAATCTTGTGAATCATTAAAGTTTATTGTGAATCATTAAAGTTTATTTTAAAAATAAGTGTATGGTGTAAATTTAAATTAGTTACATCCACAATAAATATAGATTTTTTTTTTTTAATAATTTCTTACATAATTTTTTTAAAAAAAATATATAGTATTGTTCATTTCTAAAATACAAGAGAAATACTAATTGAATTGTTAGGTATCCTTTATGTCACAGACAATTTCTTAAGATTGTGTTTGGAACATAAATTTTGTGTGCACTAAAATCTTACCACACAACCAATTACTCTGATCTTCTTTTTGAAATTTTGGAAACAATGCCACAAAACACGCGGTTTAGATCCACGCTTGCACAGTGAAAGGAATAACTAACCGTAGAACACAACCTAGATCCACACCTGCGCAGTGAGAAAAATAACTAATCCAGTTGAGGGCACTCCAATAATAAAGTCAGTAAACTTAACAAAGTAAAGTATACTCAGACAAAACTCACGTACATTTGATCTACGGGGTGCCAGCCTTTACATAGGATGTCCAGCCTCCTCTTAGAGATTGTACTCTTATCAAACACTTATTCCCGCTAGGAATAACAAATCACCTAGGACTTATATTCCCTAATTGAATTAGAATAAACCTCCCATGGCCATTCTCTTATTAGGACTCATGTGCCCGTCTACATATCTCAGCCTTAGTGTGAATCATTTAGATACCTTGGCCAACCACTCTCTACCACATGGCACCTTAGCCTAGGGCCCTACCACATGCGCAAGACCAAAAATATGTCCCCATAAATTTGAGTAAAGATTTAAAAAATAAAAGAGAAAAGGTATATAAAAAAAAATTATATGCTTTCTGACTGAATCATCTACCAAGTTGTCCAACTATTGATATGGCAATACAACAAAAAAAACA